ATTCATTGCAATCGCTCTTGTTGAACACAATAAAAAAATTACATAAAAAATAACATAGAATGACCGTTATTTCTAGCTCGGAACAGTATCAGGACTGTGGTGGAGAGCATGGTTTGCCCAGCTGTCAGAAGGCTGTAAACCAAGCGCCACATCACCTGCAACATGAAGCAACAGGTTGGGATTGGCACAGACGTGTGGTGAATCATGGTGCTGCCTGTCTTCCAGATTGGCACAAGCATCTGCAATGTCCTCTTGGTTTGAAGAAAGTAGCAACAAGGTCGACTTAGGTCGACTTGCTCCCGAGATCATCCAAGATTTAGCATGTGCACGACCCCAGAGCAGCAGCAGCTGCGGCAGCAGCACGCAGCAAGCACACCGCAAAAGGAGGAAGGAACAAACAGTAAACAGCAAAAACAAATGGTCGGCTTACGCCAGACCAAGCAAAACTGTATACTGTATGAAGGTGCCGTGGCTTTGCCCCGCACCTTGAAATGGCTTACCATGCGTAGCGCCCGCACTAGTCTCAGAAGACGCAAGCCTGGGTGCAGTCAGATCAACGCTTGGGGTTTTCACATCCGCCTTCCCTGTCCCTTGCAGACCGTAACTCTTAAAACATGAGTCCCCTTTCTGCAAAGATGCACTGAGATTTATCTCACAGGATGGCATAGGATGGCAATAGGGCCGATTCCACAAACTTGTTGCAAAATTCTTACTACCTCTAGAAGATTCAAAAAAAACTGTCCACCTGGTAGAAAAGAAAACAATACTTAACAACTGAAAATTGAAATGGAGAACAGCGAACTATTGCTACACGCTTGTCTTTCAAATGCCACAGCTAGCAGCTACAGTAGTCAGCTAGTCTTGTAGCAAAATCTTGCCTTTCAGTGACTTTGCCAAAGGAACATCTTACCAAAAGCAATGTCTCGAACCCAGCTAAACCTCCTGGGCCAAGGACAAACAAGAGTTGAGGAACATAGGGGTACTGCACTGCAATGCATGCAACTTTGCAAATTAGTTCGTCTGCAATTCCAAATAAAATTGCCAGGGATTTACATTCTTTACGACACCTAACGAGTGGAATTGGGGCAACAACTTGAGGCCACCGGGAAAGGTCCGAAAGCTTGTTGGTTATTACATGCCTGGCATGCAGGTATATACATGTATGTATATATGTATGTATGTATGTATGTATGTATATATATGTGGTAAACTTGCTTGGAAATCAGCTACAGTAAATGGTTTTGTGCAGAGGCAACGATTAGCTGATTAGATTTCTTGATGGTTTAAACCCCCAGGACCAAGAATCAGGGGGATGGCACCCTCCACCTGAGGCTACAAGAGGTGCCCAGGAGCACGCCGGGAGGGGTGGAACAAAGAAACTTGCTAAGGATCCGGTGTTTGCCTGTACCTTGCTAAAGCAAGAGTTACTTTAGCTGGCACAAGCTAGCTTTAGTGACCCAAACGTCCTGCTCCGCTGATTGGTATCACCACGCGGGCCAACCTCAAGCGTGTGACCCAGAACGAAGACAAGGAGGTCTATGTTGAAAATGGCAAGGAAAATAAAAACACGATCGGTGCAATGAAGAAGGCTCTGTTGAATTGCCTTCCTAGCAAGAGACAGGCCGATTCCAACCAGGAGAAAGTCCATGTAGAACCACACGTTCGTCAAGTTCTTCGTGCCGAGCCCGATTATGCGCAGCAGTATTTCCTGCAGTGATGGAAAAGCAAACAAGACTGGGGATTGGTTAAAGGGTCAAGAATATTCGAGGATGATGCTTTGCCACATCTTGCCCCCTACCATCCTTAGCATGCTTACCATCCTTACCATGCTTACCATGCTTACCATCCTTACCATCCATCATCCTTACCATCCTTATGATCCTTACCATCCTTACTATCCGTACCATCCTTACCATCCGTACCATCCTTACCATCCTTATAACCCTTTACAATCCTTACAATCCTTACCTGTGATGTAGCATGTGCTCTCTAAAAGCCGTTCACTGAGTTCCCTTTTGGAGACTTGTAAGACGGAATTGATTGTCATGGAACGAGAGGAAGTCAAGAGCCAGTAAACATTTCATGAACATGCTTTGAACAACACCGTAAACGGTGTTGTGCTCAGATCGTGAAGGAGGTCTGCTTTTCGGTTTCAAACTTTTGGATTGAAATGCTTCACTTCGATTCCCATAAAGCTGTGGTTCGATGGTGAAGAGTGCCAAGAAGATCCTCTCCTTGCAAAGCACAGCTGGGCCACTGGAACTTGATAGAATTTGTTTGCGATTCGGTTCAATGAACTGTCTTTGATATGAATCATATATGAATCCCTCAACATTCCAATGCTCGCAGCATGAGACGGTGCATTCTTAAGAGTAGTATGGCGAGTATCGCCACTGGTGCAAAAGGCTTGATCTCTTCTCCACTTTGAGGAGGAACAAAACAGTCCCGCTTCAATTCAAAAGGTGCGCATTGCGGACAAGGCACAGCGTGTGCTGCCCATGTATCCCCGTCAGTGTGGTGCAATGACAGCTCCGCTTCTACGCCTAAGTTGACAATGCTGCAGTTCCAGCAGTTCCCCTACAGAGTATGAGAGAGAGACAGAGGGAGAACTATTTATTTATTTAGATATATATATATATATACGTATACATATTATATATATATATATATGAGTATAGTCTGGTTAAGAGCTTTTTGCAGTGTTTGAGAACTTGTCATCGAATTCATAGAAGTTGTCCACGTTTGCAATAATTTGTGCACGTTTCACAGAAGTTGTGCACGTTTCACACGCCCCCCTAATAACGTTCCTGTTCAACTGCTGTGGAATGGACGGCTCTCATTGGGGGCTCCTAACCAGACTATCCCGATATATATATATATATATGTACATATATATATATATATACATATATATATACATATTTATATATATATACATATATATATACATATATTTATATGTATACATATATATATATATGTGGCGCGAGAGAGAGAGAGAGATGTTCGTAGATAGATAGGCAAATAGATAGATAGAGTAGATAGAGTAGATAGAGTAGATAGAGTAGATAGAGTAGATAGAGTAGATAGAGTAGATAGAGTAGATAGAGTAGATAGAGTAGATAGAGCAGATAGAGCAGATAGAGCAGATAGAGCAGATAGAGCAGATAGAGCAGATAGAGCAGATGGAGATAGAGGAGATAGAGGAGATAGAGTAGATAGAGTAGATAGAGTAGATAGAGTAGATAGAGCAGATAGAGCAGATAGAGCAGATAGAGCAGATAGAGCAGATAGAGCAGATAGAGCAGATGTAGATAGAGTAGATAGAGTAGATAGAGTAGATAGAGTAGATAGAGTAGATAGAGTAGATAGAGCAGATAGAGCAGATAGAGCAGATAGAGCAGATAGAGCAGATAGAGCAGATAGAGCAGATAGAGCAGATAGAGCAGATAGAGCAGATAGAGCAGATAGAGCAGATAGAGCAGATAGAGCAGATAGAGCAGATAGAGCAGATAGAGCAGATAGAGCAGATAGAGCAGATAGATAGAGTAGATAGAGTAGATAGAGTAGATAGAGTAGATAGAGTAGATAGAGTAGATAGAGTAGATAGAGTAGATAGAGTAGATAGAGTAGATAGAGTAGATAGAGTAGATAGAGTAGATAGAGTAGATAGAGTAGATAGAGTAGATGGAGTAGATAGAGTAGATAGAGTAGATAGAGTAGATAGAGTAGATAGAGTAGATAGAGTAGATAGAGTAGATAGAGTAGATAGAGTAGATAGAGTAGATAGAGTAGATAGAGTAGATAGAGTAGATAGAGTAGATAGAGTAGATAGAGTAGATAGATAGATAGATAGATTAGATAGATTAGATAGATAGATAGATTAGATAGATTAGATAGATTAGATAGATTAGATAGATTAGATAGATAGATAGATAGATAGATAGATAGATAGATTAGATAGATTAGATAGATTAGATAGATTAGATAGATTAGATAGATTAAATAGATTAGATAGATTAGATAGATTAGATAGATTAGATAGATTAGATAGATTAGATAGATTAGATAGATTAGATAGATTAGATAGATTAGATAGATTAGATAGATTAGATAGATTAGATAGATAGATAGATTAGATAGATTAGATAGATTAGATAGATTAGATGGATTAGATAGATTAGATAGATTAGATAGATTAGATAGATTAGATAGATTAGATAGATTAGATAGATTAGATAGATTAGATAGATTAGATAGATTAGGTAGATAGGATAGATAGGATAGATAGGATAGATAGGATAGATAGGATAGATAGGATAGATAGGATAGGATCGATAGGATCGATAGGATAGGATAGATAGGATAGATAGGAGAGATAGGAGAGATAGGAGAGATAGGAGAGATAGGAGAGATAGGAGAGATAGGAGAGATAGGATAGAGAGGATAGGATAGAGAGGATAGGATAGAGAGGATAGAGATAGAGAGGATAGAGATAGATAGGATAGGGATAGATAGGATAGGATAGATAGGATAGGATAGATAGGATAGATAGGATAGATAGGATAGATAGGATAGTAGATAGGATAGATAGGATAGATAGGATAGATAGGATAGATAGATAGATAGGATAGATAGGATAGAGAGGATAGAGAGGATAGAGAGGATAGAGATAGATAGAGGATAGATAGGATAGATAGGATAGATAGGATAGATAGGATAGATAGGATAGATAGGATAGATAGGATAGATAGGATAGATAGGATAGATAGATAGATGGATAGATGGATAGATGGATAGATGGATAGATGGATAGATAGATAGATGGATAGATAGATAGATAGATAGATAGACAGATAGATAGATAGATAGATAGGAAAGATAGAAAATGATAGGGAATTATAGGAAATGATAGGAAATGATTGGAAATGATAGGAAATGATAGGAAATGATAGGACATGATAGGAAATTATGGGAAATGATAGGAAATGATAGGAAATGATAGGAAATGATTGGAAATGATAGGAAATGATAGGAAATGATAGGAAATCATAGGAAATGATAGGAAGTGATAGGACATGATAGGACATGATAGGAAATGATAGGAAATGATTGGAAATGATAGGAAATGATAGGAAATGATAGGAAATGATAGGAAATGATAGGAAATGATAGGAAATGATAGGAAATGATAGGAGATGGTAGGAAATGATAGGAAATGATAGTAAATGAGAGGAAATGATAGGAAATGATAGGAAATGATAGGAAATGATTGGAAATGATTGGAAATGATAGGAAATGATAGGAAATGATAGGAGATGGTAGGAAATGATAGGAAATGATAGTAAATGATAGGAAATGATAGGAAATGATAGGAAATGATAGGAAATGATAGGAAATGATAGGAAATGATCGGAAATCATGTTGCCGTGGACGAGTCATCTTGACCGGCGATCCTGTCCCCAGTTGCCAAATCGCCATGGCACCAATTGTGACCATGTTGAGGAGGATGACGAGACCAGTGATGTATTCAAACCTTGCTACAGGACTGCGAAGAACCCCATGTAGGGCAGCTGGTTTTCAAAGAGTGACCGCATGACTTCAATGTCTTGAGATCCAAAAAAACTATCCGAAGCCATGAAAAACTTCTCACACTGTATGATGATTTGTGTAGTTCCTATTTATGTTTCCTCAAGATACACGGTCCTGCAAATAACACCGGCAAATTGTGATTATGCAAGCCTGTAGAGCAAGAAGTATGAGAAACATGTCTAAAAATACATTGTTAGTTCATGTTAGTTATCTTCTCTGCATCAGGATTACTTTCACTCATCATGTAATGCTTTCACTCACACGTATCGACTGCGTTACTGGTTTGGATTTTCGCCCAAGTGCTGGAACCAAGATTGGCTGAGGTTCGCTGTGATATTCAAAAAGTGCAAATCTAGCAGCCATTTGGAAAGCACAAATTCTTCCACTTTCTTTTGCCCCTCGGACCAGAAGCCCAAGTCAGCTCGCCTGGGGTACGCCAGTGAAAAACAAACAGGCAACATAATTTTTGCTCTGCCGGTTCGCTGTTGATGTGTCCACTGGCTTGGTTTGACTGCATCTAAAGTAGACACCACTCAACAACTGGTCAACAACTTGGTGTTGCTCACGATCATGTGGATGCACAAGCACAAGAACCATCCCTCAGGAAGGCCTACTGGAAGGCTAAACAAGGCCTAAAAAGATGCAACAAGTTTTCAGATTTGCAACAGATAATTCGTTGAGGCTCGCAAAGAAGCACAAAAGCCAAACCTTTTTGACCCTGGAAACCCTCTCGCGTACTCTGCAGTTCCTCAATAAAGGTCTGCTGTTGTTTGCGCCTTTTTTGTGCCTCTTGGTCGAGAAGGATCTCTGCCACAATCTTCTTGAGCGGTCCTTTCCTTACAAATAGAAATAAATTTTGAAATACTTCGTTATCTTCGAAGAAACCTCACTGGAAGTCCAGTCAGAAAGAGACACACACAGAGCAACAAGTACTGGTTGACTGCTCTACGCCTAGAAAAACGAACCTGCGCTATGCCGCAAGAAGGTTTGCCCGCCCGAGCAAAGCACAAGCTTTGCGGAGAATTTTTTACAAAGCAATGCTAACGATAAAGGAGCAACCGGTAAGGTATCTGATGTGGATTTCGATTTGAGTAATTGGCAAAACTCCTGCGACCGCAAGGAAAATGTGGCAGTGGGATTTGCCTGAAAAGCTCAAAACCTTTTGCCGACCCAGGATCTGGTTGGAGGCTTGGAAGTTCTCCACCGATGAAAGGGCCATAGTCTTTCGCGTCTTGTTCGACTGGACAAAACCTGCCATACAAAGCATGATGAATGTAAAGCCTTGGAAAGTTACAATAACAACTGACAACCAGTTTCAACCGGCATTTCAGAGAGTGAGTCATACGGGTGACAGTAGTCAGCCAGGATCTCATATCTTGGACAGCCATTAGATTCCCCTCCATCCCATTGAGAGCTTTCCGGAAGCATTTCTGTGTGTGTGTGTGGTGCGTCTTTGAAGGTATGTTTGAATAGTCCACAGGGGCCATACGCCATCTCCACTAAATAATCAGCATCCAATCCTGCAAATCAAAGTTGGCTCCATGACCTTCCTTTGAATTTCTAATCCCACTAGAAAACAATCTGAAGATGAGTAGATACGAGTTGATTGTAGTGCATTCAACTTGCCCGGGCCTGCTGGCGGCAATATAAGATTTATGGACGACTCTGTCGGAAGCGCTGGCTCAGGTAACCTCAACGATGAGAGCTTCACATGGTCATGTCACGTCGACTTGTTCTCTCAGACTGCTCTGGAGAAGAGACGAATAGATCGAATAGGGTAGCACGGGGTTTTGGATCAGGCAGAGGTTGGATAGAGTAGAAGACTGAGCTAAAAAATGAAATGAAATAGATCAACTAGATGGGATTCGTAGGCTCTATAGGATAGACGCGACATTCTAAGTTGATCGTATTTGATCGGACGCATGGATACGACATGGGACAAATGGGACATGTGACACAATGAAATAGATGGGATGGAAAGATAGGTAGGATAGGCAGGATAGATAGTAGAGATAGTATAGCTAGCATCGTATGAAGGATAGACAAGGCAGACTGGATATAATATGATATAATGGGATAGATTGGGATAGGAGCGAAGGGCGGGAGGGGCAAGGAAGGAGACGAGAGTAAAAGAGACAGAGGAGGCAAGAAAATAGGGTGGATTGATAGGTGGGTGGATGGATATGGGTTGATAGAAGGGAATTGAACAGGATGGAATGGGATAGGACATCATGAGGTTGGTTTGGGATACACAGAAAGATGCGTCTTTGGCAAGATCGACGGTAGGATCGACAGAGATATCTGAGATGGCTAGACAATGTTAGACAAGTGCAGCGCGGGCAGGTAGGTGAACCATGGTGTGGTGAGCCGGTGGGTGGGCAAATGAATAAACGGTTAGACTCGGTTAGACAGAGCGACCAGTAAAGGATGGACCGATGGAGGGAGATGGACGGATAGAGGATGGATAGCTAAGGTGAGATAGAGTACGAAGGACAATAAAGACGATGGATTGGGTAGGATACACAGGATTGGATTTGGTTGGAATCGTTTTATGAGATCAGATTCTGCTAGGTTAAGTGGCTAGATTTTGACTTATAATTCGGTAGGTTTGCTGGATTGGATTGGATTCCATCAGATTGATTTGGACTATACGTATGAAATTCAAGTGCGGAGATTAGGTTGGATAAGTTTGGCTTGAGTTTGACTACGTATGTTTGATTGATTGATACATTGTTACATGGAATGGATTGGATTTCTACAATAGACTCTATTCAATAGACTTTTGTTGGCTGTCTCTTAGTATCTCTTTCGAGGATGGAAAAAAATGAAAAAAGCGCAAGAGTTCTCCAGTGCAGTCAGCCGAATTTTAGAGGCATATTGTCATATTTCTCAGAATGAGACAAAGAAGATCAAAGAAGTAAATTCCTGTAAAATCATGTACTGTATATACTGTATATGAACCAAGGAGATGTCTCCGTCCGCATCCATGATATCCATGTGACTGAAGAGGCTCCGCTTGGATGTTGCCACCAGTGGCGGACAGCAGTGGAGGCGTCAACCCTGACGTAGTTCCATTCTCACCACTCGTCCCAGTTGGACAACCAGCGCGGTCAGCCTGCTACTTCAGCACTTGGAACACAGCTGCACAAGGAAGTTACTCGGTCCAATAAGTAGAATAAAGATGAATAAAGTACAATAAAGATCAAGTGATATGCAGCATCGTGCAGCCATATTCAGCCATATTCAGCCATACTTGTTGTATTGTCACAATTTGTCACATTCAATGCTGACGGGTCTGAGCCTGCGAGAGCACCTTCGTCACAGACTTCTGCCAAAGCTCATGTTGTTGAGTCAGCAGCTGGTAGCTCCTAGCCCACAACCATGAAGTGAGATGCGTAAGAGCAGTTACCGTACCATGTGTATCCAATATATATGGTGGTGAGAAGACATTCAGACTTTTTGAGGCGCTTCTGCTTAGTTTGAGACAAGATACGCTAAGGCGAGACGTTGCTGGCGATGGACCTCCCCGATCAGCACTTCAAAGCTTGACCTGTCTGGTTTGATGACGCATGAAGTTCATTGGAACAAGGCGAACCAGGTTGGCAAAAAAACACTTGGATGTTGCATGCAGAAGCTTTGCTGCTTTCCAAAAGCATGGAGTATGTCTGATTGTGTCTGCCACGGCCTCTTTGGATTGCTTTGTTAGCAGTTGTCTTTGAATGCTCCACAGTTGCAGAGCTTGGTAGCTGCCACAGCCCCAGTGTAACTCCAAGTTAGTAAACTCAAACTGCATGCAGATCATGCAGGGCGGGCCAAAGGACATGTAGATGCCTATCCTTCATCTCAGTTTTTGTGGGGCTGTATCGTTTCTGTTCGGCTATGTTGCCGGTCGAATTTGTTACACTTAGTGTTCCAATCTATGATGAACTTCTAAAGATATCTGAAATGCTATGTTCTATGTGTCTTTTGCATCTGGGAACTATAAAAAAGTCGGGCAGATATGTCAGTCATGTTGTATGATGTTGATTCATGTTGTATGTCCATTCAATCAGAGATATTACCCCAAGTCCAAGGAGCGGAGGCGGATCTGGTTGCGGCATCTCTGGGGCTCCGATGGAGAGACTTCAATCGATACAATGCTGATCAATGCACATGGAATATCATCAAAACACATCAAAACGCATCAAAACCATGAATCTGAATCACGTTCCTGCATGGAAAACAATGGTTACTGTAGTACCTGATCGAAGCCATGCGAACGCATGAATGAGGAATACAATCTCTAGATTATTCGTTAGGGTGAGAAAATCTCTTGAGGAACTATGGTCTGAGGCTTGACACATTGCCAATCAGAGGCGCTTGAGCTATAGGCAGCATTGGGTTTGTTTGGTCTGTCGACATCCAAGACGTCAAGACAAATCAGCATGGTAGCATGCGTGAAAGACGGAGTCTGTGAACAAACTATCAAGGCGGTGGTTCGGTGGTAATTAATCTACACTAATCTTGTAGGAGGGTAGGATTCTACGTGCACAATTCATTCGAATGCATGTTTCTTCAGCACCATCAGAATCAATTGCTATCACTGCCAAACTTCCTCTCGTCAGGCCTTCTAGAGACACATCTGAATTCACAACTGAATTGGAAAGTAAGATAATCGTATTGATCCCCTCCTGACCACGAACTCGCTCGTACCAGTCCATTGCAGCCCCTTCGACAGGCATGTTGCCTCGCTTCGGCTATTGGTGTAGAAATGTCAGATTTTCCAATGATCGGAGGAACCGACCGAATCCATCTCTCCGCTTTGAATAATTACCTTTCGGAAGGGGCTATCCAAGGAACAAAGGCATGTTGAACCTCTCAACTACAGAACTAATGAATTTCATTGAAGTTCATCACCTTGGTTACGTCAGAGTCACTTCTGACCCAACCGGGTGCTGGAACTCGCTCTGCCAGCAGCTGGAATGGCCAAATGATGTCCAACCTCACCGAAAGTTTCCGTTGAAATTCTGGGCATGCGAGACGAGGCGGTGCAACTAGTAATCAAAGATAATCAAAGTATCTTGAGTTCCATGTGAGTCATTTTGAATTCACATCTGCCACGTGGAGCTTGGAGCCAGAATTTCTGAGTCACTTGTCTTCCACGGACTCATGGCCTTCGGCACATTCAAATGAACACGCTTGGCACTAGCTTGGTCCTGAGTTCTTGATTGAGCGTGGATGGGACTGGGGACACACGATGTCGAGAAAATATTGAGAAACTGCTGTCAAGACGAGCAAGGCAGATACCCAGGGGACAGCAGGGGTAAAACGGTAAAATCAGCAGAAGGCATTGACCCTAAATCATAAGACATAAGATTTGCAGGTCTGTCATATCTGTCGAACTGTCGAACTCAGTGTTGCAACTCTGGCCAATCTCCCATCCGTCTACTCCATTGCGAGCCCGCGTACATCTTGGCTGCATGGCGGTTTTTTCAGTTTTGGAACCATCCAGTGCAAAGCCAAGTTTCCACATGATTCTTCGCATCCAGGTGCCTCGGGATGCACACACATTTGTGCAAGTTGTGAAGTGCTATGACCCGGCTATGTATGAGTGGTATTGGCGGGTGACCAGTTTTGCTTTGATCTCACAATGTTTGGGTGTGAGCAAGTAGTGTGTAACAAACCAACCCGTAGTTTCCTTTCTCACGTTGTCTCCACTCCATCCTAAAAGTAGTGTAGCCATCTACTGTTGTTCTGTAGCTGATCTTCAAGTCACATTGTTCACCATGTCTTTTGATGTCCTTTGATCATCAGCTAAATCAACGTTCATCCTCTTCCTGGAGACTCCAGTTCACAAACACTACACTAAGGTCAGGGCCAATGTGTTCGATGGAAGGTGTCATCATACCTGTCAATGGATGACAATCGGGCTCTACTGATCTCTAAAGCTATATAGCTTGATGTTTCAACATGTTTCAACCCCCTTGCAAGTAACAAGTGGAGGGCGCATCATCTCTGGAAAGCGCTTCGTTCGTGCATCACAGAATCGTTCTTCTCGCTCCTGACACTTGCAGCATCAACAAACGCAGAGGTGTTTCAATCTCAAGGAGACGTTTGTGAGGTCACAACATCTATCAAAATGATTCAACTTCAAAAAAAATGCTTTCGCATGGGCATGGGCTGGCATGGTGTGGCAAACTGACATGCTTCAAGCGCTCCTCATTGGTACCTCGCAAAGAATCCCAAGGTTGTTGCAATGGTCCCCGACCTGGAGCACCATTCCTCAAATGTTCGAATGGCAAATGTAAGGATCTCCTTGAATTCGGTAAAGACAGGTCAAGGGGAATACTGAGACACGAGAAAACAAGTACAATGAATGAGCTAAATCGAGTCACGAATCGGACTCAGGAGTCTGTTGCTAGAAAATATCTTCCTAGCATACCTTCAGTCTTGTACTGTAGAAATATGTTGGAAATATGTTGGAAATATGTTGGAAATATGTTGGAAATATGTTGGAAATCACCGGCATCACATGTCCGATGTGTTACCCTCTTGCGCTAGGCGCCCCCGCAAGGCCCAGCCACCCCATTCGGAGCCAAATGGAGGCTGGCATCAGAGCAAACGTCGGAACAGTCTTTGTGCCAAGAACTTGCCAAAAAATCATCAACTAAACTTGCTATAAACTTGCTAAACCACAATACATCGTAAACATTCATAACAAAGTGATGTGCACAGGACATGCCTTTGATTCATCAATGTTAAAACAGTGATGTGCAACGAAGCGTGGACCAAATCTGGACTTTTCATGACTTTTCTGGAGTGCAGTCGTTCCTTTGACATCCTGTGACTAGACTCAATCGACTCAATCGACTCAATCGACTCAATCGACTCAATCGACTCAACCGACTCAATCGACTCAATCGACTCAATCGACTCAATCGACTCAATCGACTCAATCGACTCAATCGACTCAATCGACTCAATCGACTCAATCGACTCAATCGACTCAATCGACTCAATCGACTCAATCGACTCAATCGACTCAATCGACTCAATCGACTCTCAATCGACTCAATCGACTCAATCGACTCAATCGACTCAATCGACTCAATCGACTCAATCGACTCAATCGACTCAATCGACTCAATCGACTCAATCGACTCAATCGACTCAATCGACTCAATCGACTCAATCGACTCAATCGACTCAATCGACTCAATCGACTCAATCGACTCAATCGACTCAATCGACTCAATCGACTCAATCGACTCAATCCGACTCAATCGACTCAATCGACTCAATCGACTCAATCGACTCAATCGACTCAATCGACTCAATCGACTCAATCGACTCAATCGACTCAATCGACTCAATCGACTCAATCGACTCAATCGACTCAATCGACTCAATCGACTCAATCGACTCAATCGACTCAATCGACTCAATCGACTCAATCGACTCAATCGACTCAATCGACTCAATCGACTCAATCGACTCAATCGACTCAATCGACTCAATCGACTCAATCAATCGACTCAATCGACTCAATCGACTCAATCGACTCAATCGACTCAATCGACTCAATCGACTCAATCGACTCAATCGACTCAATCGACTCAATCGACTCAATCAATCGACTCAATCGACTCAATCGACTCAATCGACTCAATCGACTCAATCGACTCAATCGACTCAATCGACTCAATCGACTCAATCGACTCAATCGACTCAATCGACTCAATCGACTCAATCGACTCAATCGACTCAATCGACTCAATCGACTCAATCGACGACTCAATCGACTCAATCGACTCAATCGACTCAATCGACTCAATCGACTCAATCGACTCAATCGACTCAATCGACTCAATCGACTCAATCGACAAATGCAAAAGGCGAGCCAGCGAGCCTTGCAAAGGGCAGGTGGAATCCTTGCTGGGGCTTGGACCGAGCAGTGAGGAGTACTAGGAGTACATGCCACTACGAATCACTACGATATCATGTCATATCCGCTCACGAGACTCACGAGACTCTGTCTTTTGCTTTAAGATCTTTAAGTTGTGCTCGCGCAAGGAGCTTCAAACGGTACAATTGCTTCCAATCAGAATAAATCTAGCATCCCTGGGAAAGCCGCTCGAAAGTCTTTCCCTGAATGCAAATTCCCTTTCTTTCATTTAGTGTTTCTTTAACGTTGATTTTCTGACCAATGCAAACTTTGAGCGATATGTAGTGTGAAAATCATAAATACATCCAGTGTCGACTACAAAGTTTTGACTTCATCAAGGACCGAACGATGAAGGGATAATTTTTTCAGGAAAACATCGACGATGTTCAACGCCTCAGATTTGCATCAGAAGTATAGCAGTTGCAAACAACAGCCAAGCACACTTGAAGAGACCATTTGGAAAAAAAAAAGTTGAATCCAAGAATGACTCGCATGATAACGGGACTAGGCGTCGGGGCAAGGAACAACGACTTCAAAACAGCAAGCAATTAGAGCGACTTGAACAAACTGTAGAAAAGGTTGGCAAATCATGTCAAACTGGCTACCAGTCTGGTCCGGCTAAAGATTCAGTACCAAAGGATACCAAAGGCAATTAAGGAGTGCACAGAGACATTGGCCACAAGTTGAGTTTCCCACATTGTGATGCTGGAGGGGTATTACATCATGTCATGATCTGTTATGCGCGTTTACATGTGTTTACCCGTTCATTGTCATTCCAAATTCTGAGAGTCCCTGCCAACTGGTCCATTGGCAGAAACCGGATGCGACGGGCGTTTCCCAGGAACAGGTGCCTGGAACCATGTGTGCGAAAGCAGGAAATCATTCCAAGGTTTCAGAACTGGGAAAAGTTCTGGTTAGTTTGAGGAAAAGGGTGTGTTAAGAACTACGGAGTATTCGCAGTATACAAATACACGGTCGATTGCAACATGTCCAAACCCCTGGTCATCAGTCCTCTTCCCATTGCACTGGATTATCATATCCAGTTGGCTGACTCCGAGCCTTGGTAGAATTGTTATACAGATTAACACAGCGTGTTGCATGTTTGCGCACATAAATTTCGGGTTCACAAGCTACAGAAGCTAGAGCCTTAGCAGAAGGAAATACCAAAGTTCGCAAGAACCTTCTGCATCTGAGAGCCACTGCCCATGGAAAACATCGCTTTGAAGTGTCATGAATAGCTCGTTGCTTGAGAGGAATGCATTCGATCTTCCGGATGCCCTGGCTGACATCGAACACTGGCAGTGGCAACGATCATGAGGACTTCTTTGGAAGTTATATATAATTGCATGTATAATTACTATATCCAACTTCCCAGCGCGCATAAGACAGAAATTATGCTTCGAAGCCACGGAATACTGCAAAACTGCTCATCTGTTCCGCAAACGCAACAAGGAACAAAATTGAACCAAGACCGGCCCCACGGTGACACCACCTCTGCTTTCTCAACAATCTTGGGCGGTGTCTTCGGACGCTTCAGTGGACGCTCAGGAATAGGATCCTCATCAACTTCCCATGACTATCAGTTGTCAGTGTCTACAGTATCAGTTCATGGCACACAGACGTGACGTCAACCAAGGAAATGCGGAACTGCTACAGAAAAAGACTGGTCTGGTGAACGTCGTTTCACCCACATGTGTTTCAAACAAGGAGGATCAATGAGGGTAGCGAAAGGGCAAGATAGAGTCAATGATGGCAACAGTTTATGCTCGACACGTAGGCTTATATGTGTTCTTAACCACCTGAAATGGGATACATGGCCGCCTGCCTCCATGTAAGAAGAACTGGAACTTCGTCTGAAAAGATTTTGGTCATCATGGCAATATGCATTCTTATCCATCTACCTTCGTACCAGTTGTCCTACCGGCACTCACGTACTGATAACTGACAGGGACCATTTCCTTCAGTTTGCCGGCATAAGTCATGAGGCTACCGGGAATGCTGAGCCTTGGTTTTCTGTTGTTTTTATTTTGATAGCTTTTTCTGGATATCGATTCTATTTGTCCTTAGAAAGGTTGCCACTCTTGTATACAGGAGAACTTGTTTGCTGACTGCACCCGGGACAATAGGAGTTGAAGCCCTCATACACAGGCGATGTGCACCTCTACACATGCTCGTGCAAATATCGTAATTTCATCCACATGTATGCACACATGCATGTGCAAATACTATACACCTGTGTATGTATGTTAATACGTGTATGTGTATATATAATTACATAGTATAGTATATATGATATAATATTATAATAATATAATAATGTATATAATAATATAATAATATAATAATATAATAATATAGTAATATAATAATATAGTAATATAATAATGTAGCAATATAATAATATAATAATATACATATACATATATATATATACAATATGCGTACAGAGAAAAAGAGAGAGAGAGAGGAAGAGACAGGCATGTTTCCATGTTGCTGTTTTTTGATGGTGCTCCAACCAAACAAAACCAGACAGGCGGTATGTCCCATTCACTAGTCTTGTTGCGTAGGTGCCTCTTCGAGACTCTGAAGGAAGTGCAACTGGCAGATGTTGCTTCACTCCAAACTGTCCATGTACGCTAGAGTGTCATGCATGGTCCCGTGGCCATTTTTGTCAGCTCCATATCTGGCTGACTGCGCTGAATTTGTGCGCGATTCAATCATGCAAATAACGCGCTCCTTGGGATAAAACTTTGAGTCTAGCTGGCTCCTTGCAGCGACAGCAGCATACTTGCTTTCGATCGATTGATCAGCTTGGACACCAGCACAAACGATTTTTCAAGTGACTCTACGTACCATGTGAAAGGGCTTTTATATATATATATATAATTATAGAGAGAGAGAGAGAAAGAGAAACACACACACAAAAAAGAAAAAAAGATAGTGCCTTCGCTGTCAACAACATGCTTTGGTATCTCCTTGTAAAACAGCTTCACAGTCAACTGAATCGCAGACCAGAGATGAAAGAGCATAAATGGACTTCTGTCACCTATCTGTTTCTCTGTCCTCGGAGCACCCTGCCGCACCCGTGGTTCTTTCTCAGGAAGGGTGTCCCAAATGGCCTGACATGGAAACGGAAGACTGTTCAAATCGCCCCGATATGTCCTGATCATCAGAGAAGCAAGGAAGAAAAAAGGTGAGATGACTCTGTTGATGGTGTACTTACAGTAATTGCTTTTGCAGGTGAGTCTGGCAGACTGTCATGAACCATTTTAGAACGCTAGAGAAAGTTAATACACAATCACAATATATCACAATATATCACAATGGTCAACAAGATTCAATAAGCAGTTTGCCGGGCTACGACGGCTACGAGACAACCCTGTGTCATCCTGTGTCCCTCTGGGCAGTCCGGCTGTGCCAATCTGTGGCTGCGGTCGGCACTCGCCCATCTTTTTGAGACGGCTGCGCCATGCAGGTCTACCCTGGAGATGCGACTTGCGCAACAAGTGACACCATAAGACTGGCAAAGCGTTGTTCAACTATGAGAGGCGAGAAATGCATAATTAGATGCTTGAGTGTGTGCTTGACACACTTATCTGCATACATATGATATTGGAATTTGCAATGCTAAGACTTGAAAGTATTGCACACACTCCAATCTTACAGCTCCAACACGATGCACTGGAGGACAAATCAAATTCATCATGAATATGAGCGACCTCCCTCGTGATCGGTCTCTGTAACATTTGATGCCTGAGATTCCATGTACGATCAGGACATACCTTCTAGAAATTTCTTGAATGAGCATTGGTATTGCTTGGCGTATGATGACAATATCAGCGCAACCCAGCACATGGCTAGACCCCACACAAGACCAAATGTCCAAACATTATCGTCTTCCGATCGACTTTCTAGACAGCGGGATTCAAAGTGTTTTCCCAGTTTACTTTCGAGATGAGATGCCAACACTATCTTACTATATATTATATTGCATACTATTGTAACAAAACTAGGCCAATAAGGCACTTGAGGAACATGGAAAATATCCCATATCTCATGCTGCTTCCAGGGCACAATCCCAAAGTCATCTTCACTCACCGGCATGGCAAGAATGGAGGCTGCCAAATTGATCCAGGGGTGTTCTTCGCATAAAAATGGGAAGCGCTGTCAAAGTTGCAGCCAGCTACAGGTAGTGATTTCAGATGATTTGACTTACAGAGTTGGTGAGTTGGTGACTTAGCGGATTTAGCGACTTGGTCATCACAGAACAACATGTTCGGCTTCTGACTCCAATTTCTGACAAGTGTCTTGTGGTGTCTTGTGAGTCTTGTCCCTTTGTTTTACGCATTGCATCTGACAGTCTGTACCTTTTGCCTCTGTTCCAGTTTCGTGCTATCGTTGCCCAAGCAGGATAGCTTCAGAATCTCCTCACAGTCAAGCTCAAACTGACACTAGACTGTTAGAGAAGCCGTGCACTTGTATAGAAGGTGGCGTTGTAGAGTCCTGCTAAATTCAATTCTGCGTGAAATTGAAATTTGGATGCTGTTTGAGTCTGAGTCTGGTTGAAGAGTTGTATTCGTCTCACAGCATGGTTGTACTTGAGAAAAAAATATGTCTCCGGCCAGTGATGCTGCATATGCTATTGCAACAGCACTTATCTACAGAATCTGCCAGCTGCTCTTTTTCGAAGTTCAAACATTTGAGTATGGTCAAAATTGGCTCCCCAATAATTTGATGGCTAAGACATATTAAATCATATTAAATCATATATAATAATCATATTAATCTACATCATTCTACATCTAACAAAGATGGACTAAAATCTGTCATCCCCTAGGTCCTGAATTTTGACACCCATTTGATTTTAGTATCAACATGCCCATGTTCACCATGTTCCCAAACTCCAGCATAATTGTCCTTTGATGTCCTTTGTATCTTGGCAAACTCAAACCCAGTTGACACAATATGCAGGTGCTGTCTGCATCTATTGTCAGGAAATATGAACATACCAGAAGTATAAATACACACCTTTCGGATCCTGCTGGACATGCGAGCACGTTCAACTCTATATACCTCTAAATACCTCTAAACTTGATCTCATCTCAGGGTGCACAGAGACCCCAAGGCATCTGTGCGAAGCTCACAGCTACGAGTCGGCTACGAGTCCCATACGTCTTTTTGGTTCCGCCTTTCATCGGCGCCTGTACAGCAGCTAACCAGTACGAGCTTCTGGAAGTGAGCCAACAGTTGGTGAGGCACTGCTGATTGATATTGATTGACAAACTATTAAACAGAGGTGGGATTAGGTAAGAAATGTAACAAGCATTGAGTAGGTCTTTCCATACCCATCACAAGGGGCTTACTTTAGGATTTATGTTGTCTATTTATGTTTATTCATACACCCTTTGGGTCGCCGAACCCTTTACCCTCCAAATCCATGTGAACAGGCTTCCTGAGATGCGTTTGTCATTCCACTATTCACTATTCGATAATTTTGATAAGAGTCTCTATCCTGACTGAAAGGATCAGCAGAGCCAGATTGCCATGTGGACTCTTTTGCTGCCTCTGACCGTCTTCGAGCGCGCCTTTGATTTTGACTCTAAGACTCTGAGCCTTTCAGCTAGGATGAAACAATGATCTTGAAGGTCTCGTGGTCTCGGGGTATTCTCTGTAAACCAGAGTTTGTAAACAGCCACATTCGTAATATCAACATGTCTGAACAAATGGAATTTCATCAAGCCCAGTCAGTGACTTCCTTGGATCTCCATCAATCCTCAGCTCAAAGTTGCGCACAGTGTTTCTACGAGGTCCAACGCCGCATCTTGGCCAGATTTTCAGGCCAGGCACAGTTTTCTTCCGCCTCACCCAAGAGATAGCTGCGACAATAGCCTGGTCGTGCCTGGCAGATGAAGAGAAACATATACAAACATATAATTTGCCAATTGGATAAAAACCGCAAGTAAAGAAACCGGTGTATAATCTGATGTGTTTAATCCTCTTGTGCATATTAGTTTCTACAATGATTGGATGCTGTCATTGTTCTAAGATGTTCTAAGTTTATCATTTGATTATATAGTTTGACGTGTTATGATGTGTTATGTCCAAAACGCCAAAACACGGTCTGCCTTGGTCGGTCCATGCCACCAGGTGTACAGCCCTGTGACAGCTGCAGGAGATCCAGTGGCGCCCAATCCGAGTAGCATTCGCCCAGCGAAAAGCCGAGGCGCTAGACCAGCCTCGAGTGGTGCACTGCCCACATGTGTAAAAGAAATACAACGCAGATTGCATGTGCAAAACGCAGTGATAAAGTGCCTTAAATTGTACAGTGCTAATTTGTATTCAATTGTTACAGAGTTATATATATATATATATATGAACTATGTCCAATCATTTTATTACTTTTATTGTGTGCCTTGCACATGTAGACTACTTTAAGTGGCCTTGCCTTTTGTTTGTCAAGGATTGCTGCATTCGGATTCATTTGGCCATACCATGCCGTGCCAAGCTTTGCACTTGCCTAGAGATGCCTAGAGGCCATCAATGGTGACTTGCGGCCAAAGGCTCAGCTAGGGAAAGACGCCATGAAGTGCTTGCAGAAGCACCCAGGCCGTAGGCCAAGCCAGCAGTGAAGCCCATACCAGCAGGAAGATTGAAGGCTAAGCCTGTTTGATGAGCAAGGATGAGCTTGGGTGAGCTTGGGTGAGCTTGGTGGCTTCGAAATGGTTCAAGCAGAATCGAACACACTTGCGAACACGAATATAGAAACGGCAACAGGAAACTCAGCAGTGAAGATAGCTGGTAGGATTCAAAAGGACAGGACACGCCAACATGGTCTTTATAAACGCGTGCATGTCGTCAAACAAAGGCACTGTGGAATTTGATTGCAGGTAACTCACAGAACATCATCACAAAGTACAAGCCAATATATGTCATCCACAAACGCGAGACGGTTGTTCATGAAGATTAGTGGATTCATGAAGATTAAGGACCGATCAGTTTAAGGTCAGTCATACGGTTACTTTTGCAGGTCCCCACTAGCTCAATCGCTTGTTATTCGGTCTAGCCGAGGCTAGCCAGTGTCTTCTAGGATCATCGGCGAGGGCCAACAAGGGTCTGGTATGGTCTGGCCGATAGAATGCTAAGAAAGGGACAATCGACGGTCTTCTGCCAAACGTGCGCGAGGTCTCCCGCTCCTACCTGCGATCAAACTTCATCTGATTCCGGAAACTGATTCTGTTTTAATCCAGCCGGTTCAAGTGAAGCTTACTGTGCGTCTTTCCATTCTGCCTGGCCATCGCCGTCCTTGTCAAGCAATTTCAAATAGTCTCTCTCCTGAAGAGAACAAAGCGGTGCATCGGTTTCGTACCAGGCAAAAACCTGTTAGGCTCCAAAGGGACACAGAACATCCACACGGAGTCCACGCAATCCAGAGCAAATTATTCGTGCAAAAGGCACATTGAAATTATTGACTTGAGCTAGCAAGCGTTGTCACACAGCATGCTGAGGGCGTCCAGCGCACGCCAATTCACTTCGATGTAGCCATGATAAGCCAAGCCTCTGCAGGCAGCATAATTAGAATGATCATGAATGATCTACTTATCCTTGCATGAAATGACCTGCACACAGCCTCTTGTATTCTCTTCTCTTATTCTCTTCTCTTAACTTGAGATGGGCTGAGATCGGATGAGATTGGTGAGGTAGAGCTCCAAGAGCACGATTTTGGTCCGATCTTCATGAACATACACAAAACAAAAAAAGAAAAGAACTCTTCGTTGATATCAAATGCTGAAATATGTTGAAATATGTTGAAATATTTTGAAATATGCTGAAATATGCTGAAATATGCTGAAATATGCTGAAATATGTTGAAATATGCTGAAATATGCTGAAATATGCTGAAATATGCTGAAATATGTTGAAATATGTTGAAATATGCTGAAATATGTTGAAATATGTTGAAATATGTTGAAATATGTTGAAATATGCTGAAATATGTTGAAATATGCTGAAATATGTTGAAATATGTTGAAATATGTTGAAATATGCTGAAATATTTTAAAATATGTTGAAATATGTTGAAATATGCTGAAATATTTTAAAATATGTTGAAATATGCTGAAAAATGCTGAAATATGTTGAAATATAATGAAATATGTTGACATATGTTGAAATATGCTGAAATATGTTGAAATATGCTGAAATATGTTGAAATATGTTGAAATATGTTGAAATATGTTGAAATATGTTGAAATATGTTGAAATATGTTGAAATATGCTGAAATATGCTGAAATATGTTGAAATATGTTGAAATATGTTGAAATATGCTGAAATATGCTGAAATATGCTGAAATATGTTGAAATATTTTGAAATATGTTGAAATATGCTGAAATATGCTGAAATATGTTGAAATATGTTGAAATATGCTTAAATATGCTGAAATATGTTGAAATATGTTGAAATATGTTGAAATATGTTGAAATATGCTGAAATATGCTGAAATATTTTAAAATATGTTGAAATATGTTGAAATATGCTGAAATATGCTGAAATATGCTGAAATATTTTGAAATATGTTAAAATATAATGAAATATGTTGAAATGTGCTGAAATATGCTGAAATGTGTTGAAATATGTTGAAATATGTGGAAATATGTTGAAATATGTTGAAATATGTTGAAATATGTTGAAATATGCTGAAATATGCTGAAATATGTTGAAATATGTTGAAATATGCTGAAATATGTTGAAATATGTTGAAATATGTTAAAATATGCTGAAATATGCTGAAATATGCTGAAATATGTTGAAATATGTTGAAATATGTTGAAATATGCTGAAATATGTTGAAATATGTTGAAATATGTTGAAATATGCTGAAATATGCTGAAATATGCTGAAATATGCTGAAATATGCTGAGAGATGTTGAAATATGTTGAAATATGCTGAAATATGCTGAAATATGCTGAAATATGTTGAAATATGTTGAAATATGTTGAAATATGTTGAGATATGTTGAAATATGTTGAAATTTGTTGAGATATGTTGAAATATGTTGAAATTTGTTGAAATTTGTTGAAATATGTTGAAATATGTTGGAATATGTTGAAATATGTTGAAATATGCTGAAATATGCTGAAATATGCTGAAATATGCTGAAATATGTTGAAATATGTTGAAATATGTTGAAATATGCTGAAATATGCTGAAACATGTTGAAATATGTTGAAATATGTTGAAATATGTTCAAACATGCTGAAAGATGTTGAAATATGTTGAAATATGTTGAAACATGTTGAAACATGCTGAGACATGTTGAAACATGTTGCAATATGTTGAAATATGCTGAAATATGCTGAAATATGCTGAAATATGTTGAAATATGCTGAGATATGTTGAAATATGCTGAAATATGCTGAAATATGCTGAAATAAAATGAAATATGCTGAAATATGCTGGAATATGCTGAAATATCTTGAAATATGCTGGAATATGTTGAAATATGTTGAAATATGTTCAAAATTGTTGAAATATGTTGAAATATGCTGAAACATGTTGAAACATGTTAAAATATGTTGAAATATGTTGAAACATTTTAAAACATGTTGAAACATGTTGAAACATGTTGAAACATGTTGAAATATGTTGAAACGTGTTGAAACATGAAACTTGTTAAAATATGTTGAAATATGTTGAAATATGTTGAACTATGTTGGACTATGTTGAAATATGCTGAAATATGCTGAAATATGCTGAAATATGCTGAAATATGTTGAAATATGTTTAAATATGTTGAAATATGTTGAAATATGTTGAGATATGTTGAAATATGTTGAGATATGTTGAAATATGTTGAAATATGTTGAAATATGCTGAAATATGTTGAAATATGTTGAAATATGCTGAAATATGTTGAAATATGTTGAAATATGTTGAAATATGTTGAAATATGTTGAATATGTGAAATATGCTGAAAAATGCTGAAATATGCTGAAACATGTTGAAATATGTTGAAATATCTTGAAATGTTTTGAAATATATTGAAATAGGTTGAAATATGCTGAAATATGCTGAAATATGCTGAAATATGTTGAAATATGCTGAAATATGCTGAAATATGCTGAAATATGCTGAAATATGTTGAAATATGTTGAAATATGCTGAAATATGCTGAAATATGCTGAAATATGCTGAAATATGTTGAAATATGTTGAAATATGCTGAAATATGCTGAAATATGTTGAAATATGTTGAAATATGCTGAAATATGTTGAAATATGCTGAAATATGCTGAAATATGCTGAAATATGTTATGAAATATGTTTGAAATATGTTGAAATATGATATGCTGAAATAAATATGCTGAAATATGCTTATGAAATATGTTGAAATATGAAATATGTTGAGATATGCTGGAATATGCTGAATATGTTGAAATATGTTGAAATATGCTTAAATATGCTGAAATATGTTGAAATATGTTGAAATATGCTGAAATATTTTAAAATATGTTGAAATATGTTGAAATATGCTCAAATATGCTGAAATATGCTGAAAAAATTTGAAATATGTTAAAATATGTTGAAATATGCTGAAATATGCTGAAATATGCTGAAATGTGTTGAAATATGTTGAAATATGTTGAAATATGTTGAAATATGTTGAAATATGTTGAAATATGCTGAAATATGCTGAAATATGTTGAAATATGTTGAAATATGTTGAAATATGCTGAAATATGCTGAAATATGCTGAAATATGTTGAAATATTTTGAAATATGTTGAGATATGCTGGAATATGCTGAAATATGTTGAAATATGTTGAAATATGCTTAAATATGCTGAAATATGTTGAAATATGTTGAAATATGCTGAAATATTTTAAAATATGTTGAAATATGTTGAAATATGCTCAAATATGCTGAAATATGCTGAAAAAATTTGAAATATGTTAAAATATGTTGAAATATGCTGAAATATGCTGAAATATGCTGAAATGTGTTGAAATATGTTGAAATATGTTGAAATATGTTGAAATATGTTGAAATATGTTGAAATATGCTGAAATATGCTGAAATATGCTGAAATATGCTGAAATATGCTGAAATATGTTGAAATATGTTGAAATATGCTGAAATATGAAATATGCTGAAATATGCTGAAATATGTTGAAATATGTGAAATATGCTGAAATATGAAATATGCTGAAATATGTTGAAATATGTTGGAATATGTTGAAATATGCTGAAATATGCTGAAATATGCTGAAATATGCTGAAATATGCTGAAAGATGTTGAAATATGTTGAAATATGCTGAAATATGCTGAGATATGCTGAAATATGTTGAAATATGTTGAAATATGTTGAAATATGTTGAGATATGCTGAAATATGCTGAAATATGTTGAAATATGTTGAAATATGTTGAAATATGTTGAATATGTTGAAATATGCTGAAATATGCTGAAATATGCTGAAACTGCTGAAATATGCTGAAATATGCTGAAATATGTTGAAATAGGTTGAAATATGCTGAAATATGCTGAAATATTTTGAAATATGTTAAAATATGTTGAAATATGCTGAAATATGCTGAAATATGCTGAAATGTGTTGAAATATGCTGAAATATGTTGAAATATGTTGAAATATGTTGAAATATGTTGAAATATGTTGAATATGTGAAATATGCTGAAAAATGCTGAAATATGCTGAAACATGTTGAAATATGTTGAAATATCTTGAAATGTTTTGAAATATATTGAAATAGGTTGAAATATGCTGAAATATGCTGAAATATGCTGAAATATGTTGAAATATGCTGAAATATGCTGAAATATGCTGAAATATGCTGAAATATGTTGAAATATGTTGAAATATGCTGAAATATGCTGAAATATGATGAAATATGCTGAAATATGTTGAAATATGTTGAAATATGTTGAAATATGTTGAAATATGCTGAAATATGTTGAAATATGTTGAAATATGTTGAAATATGCTGAAATATTTTAAAATATGTTGAAATATGTTGAAATATGCTGAAATATGTTGAAATATGCTGAAATATGTTGAAATATGTTGAAATATGTTGAAATATGTTGAAATATGTTGAAATATGTTGAAATATGTTTAAATATGTTGAAATATGTTGAAATATGTTGAAATATGTTGAAATATGTTGAAATATGTTGAAATATGTTGAAATATGTTGAAATATGCTGAACTATGTTGAAATATGTTGAAATATGCTGAAATATGTTGAAATATGTTGAAATATGTTGAAATATGTTGAATATGTGAAATATGCTGAAAAATGCTGAAATATGCTGAAACATGTTGAAATATGTTGAAATATCTTGAAATGTTTTGAAATATATTGAAATAGGTTGAAATATGCTGAAATATGCTGAAATATGTTGAAATATGCTGAAATATGCTGAAATATGCTGAAATATGCTGAAATATGCTGAAAGATGTTGATAGATGTTGAAACATGTTGAAACATATTGAAACATGTTGAAACATGTTGAAACATGTTGAAATATGTTGAAATATGCTGAAATATGCTGAAATATGCTGAAATATGCTGAAATATGCTGAAATATGCTGAAATATGCTGAAATATGTTGATAAAATATGTTGTTGACATCTTGTTGAAATATGTTGTTGAAATATGTTGTTGAAATATGTTGTTGAAATATGTTATTGAAATTTGTTGTTGAAATATGTTGTTGAAATATGTTGTTGAAAATATGTTGTTGAAAATGTGTTCGTGAAATATGTTGTTGAAATATGTTCGTGAAATATGTTGTTGAAATATGTTGTTGAAAATATGTTCGTGAAATATGTTGTTGAAATATGTTGTTGAAATATGTTGTTGAAATATGTTGTTGAAATATGTTGTTGAAATATGTTGTTGAAATATGTTGTTGAAATATGTTGTTGAAATATGTTGTTGAAATATGTTGTTGAAATATGTTGTTGAAATATGTTGTCGAAATATGTTGTCGAAATATGTTGTCGAAATATGTTGTCGAAATATGTTGTCGACATATGTTGTCGACATATGTTGTCGACATATGTTGTTGAAATATGTTGTTGAAATATGTTGTTGAAATATGTTGTTGAAATATGTTGTTGAAATATGTTGTTGAAATATGTTGTTGAAATATGTTGTTGAAATATGTTGTTGAAATATGGTATTGAAATATGGTGTTGAAATATGGTGTTGAAATATGTTGTTGAAATATGTTGTTGAAATATGTCGTTGGAATATGTTGTTGAAATATGTCGTTGGAATATGTTGTTGAAATATGTTGGTGAAATATGTTGGTGAAATATGTTGTGAAATATGTTGTGAAATATGTTGTGAAATATGTTGTGAAATATGTGTTGAAATAGCGACATGTTGAGATATGTTGAAATATGTTGAAATATGTTGAAATATGTTGAGTACTGTATGTATTGTATGTGCATATATATATATTATATCATTACAGTATATATATGAATATTGATATTGTATGTCAAATTTATCTTTTATTTATGCTTCGTTGTCTGGCGCCGTGCCCGGCCTTGGATGACGCAAAAGGTGCAGCCGACACCCACTGCAGCAACACGGCCCACTGTGCGCAAAGCCACGCCAGCGGCAAAGCCCAAGGTGCTGCCCAGTGTCAGCTGACCTCCTCGCAAGAACTGAACGCAGCCGAAGTACGTCTAGAACGAATCTGCCGAGTTTGCACTATGTTGCAACACTGGCAGTTATCAGTCATTAAAATGTTGTGAAAGCAAGCTGTTCATGAACTATCGCACCAGAGATATCTCCAAATCCACGAAAGTCATTCCAGTGCCAGAGTAGAAGCACGACAAACGTCATGAAGCTGCAAAAAAAGTTGTGTGACATGACTTTCTTCCACGGACACAGGTTGTTGAAGAATGGCAAACAAAACAAACCGATCCCCGCTCCAATGGGCGCCAGGAGCTCTGTGAATGCTTTCTGCGCAGGAGTCAGCCCAGACTGCCCAGAATCTGCCATATTGGAATGCGGTGGAATGTCTTCGAGATATTTCCTAATCACTATATCCATCGTTTCTTACCAATTCTTCATCCTGGCTATGCTTTCTATTGGCCACTCTTGCTCCTTATAGCGGCAACTCCTTGGACAAACTTCAGATCACCAAATCTCTGTTCTTGTTGCCTGTGTGAAAGTTGGTAGACCCACACAGTGTGGCATACGCTGCTCAAAACGGCCATGCTTGTCCTTTGTAGCAACTGAAATTACTGCTTCGAACTCCAAATTGCTGATACAGGCAGGTCATTGACGCCAACGTGTTTTGCAATGTTGTCATATCTTGTCATATCTGTCATATGTTGTTATAGTCTGAAATGGTCCAAAGCCTCAGAGCTGAAAACAGCTTTGACAAGACCTGCTCCAAGAAAGGCTCCAGAAGGTCCTCCTGGGCCTACCGCTAGATTCTGCTAGATTCAGGGCTCAAATCTTGTCATAGCCAGCATTCGATTCATTCGATTCATTCGATTCATTCGATTCATTCGATTCATTCGATTCATTCGATTCATTCGATTCATGCCACCTAAAGTTATCCAAAACGGCGCACGTCAAGGTTGCACTTGTCCCAAGCAAACGTGCAAAAGACCGGGCATAATTTGTTGTACAATTGAATGTCGGTATGGTATGGTATGGTGACAACTCAAAAAAGGCGTGCCAATCCTTTTTGTACAATGGCAGCCGAGCTGGGTCTCAGCCGTCTAAGCTGACCATCCCATCCACCTGCACAGTGAGGCCGACTGAAGTCGCTTTGAAAGTCTCGCGAGCTTCTCGAGCTTCTTAAATGTTGCTACATGTTGCTTCATGTTGCTACTTCATTCAGTTCCCGTCACCAAACACAGGCTAGGGAAAGGTATGCTTTTGCCTCTATTCTGAAGTTCATCCTCTGTCCATTTTTATCCATGCCCATGCAATCCAATCTCTTTTTCAATGCAAAGTTGTACAGTAGTAGTTCCGTGAATTATCAGGAACGAAGGATCAATGGCAAATTAATGCAAATTACTTGAAAATCCGAATGTGCCGCATACCCAGAAAATTTGATTCTGGTGATTCAATACTCATTCTGTCTCTGTGAAGCTGCAGCAACCAACGCAAACAGCTTGAGAGGCTCTCGTTTTGTCCGAACGAAAAAGGTAGAGACCCTTTGATGGAAGATGAACCCTGAACTGATTTCATTGCCAGTCCCATCGGAGTGTACTTGTATTTGTCGACGTCCACTCCGTCACCACCCTCGTACTGAACACCGCTGTCCTCACTGTTCGGCCAGGCATTGTTTGGGCATCGTTTTCGACAAGTTCTGTGTTGATGCAACAACAAAGCCCAGTTTACCAAAAGAAAATACGTAGCTGTTACACTCTTTGGAGCCTATCACAAACAAATCATCAAGCCCTCTACATGCGTTGCAACACTGCACTGCAAGGTAGATTTGTTGCATGTCCACATTGTGCACAACACAACAACAAACGTACGTATGCTCAGCACACACGAGAGCTTGAGAGAGTTGCCGAACCTGTCTGCGGCCCGTTAACTTCAAAACCAAGCTCATTCAGTCGAAGAAGAAAGTATAAAACATTATAAAACGATAGATTATTTAGAAACATCAACAAAATACTTGAATGTCTTCAATCATCTTCAATCCAAGACAGGGCTAACGTGCAATCACCTTGCAAGACCACTTGTGAAAACTTTATTCGACTACGTTAACAATCTTCCTGTATGGTTTCTCGGACACTAGTTCCACTCTTCTGGTTGCGAGGATCATTTTTGCACTGTGTAGACTTTTACATAGTAGATTTAAAGCTAGTTTAGGCAACAGAAGTGAAGTAATTAATCTTTTGCCGCTTCTCTACAGTCTACGAGCCTCGGCCTACTGATTTACCGGAGCGGCATGCAGAAAAATTCGATGTCCTCGAGTGTGTACCACACACGAGCTCTTCGAGACTCGAACTGGATGTCCAGGGTCCCCTCCTCCTGTTCGAAGCTGCATCTGCAATCTGGTGCGATCAGGCTATTGCATGCTACTGCCATCTACTGCCCAAATAGCATTGGTGGACGGCTTGAAACGACACTTGCTTTGCAGTAGACAAATGTGGGCATTCTGCTCCCTCCCGGTTATTCACTATGGGTCCTTGGAGACAACTGGGACCTGCCAACCATCTTGGAATCAAGATGGAGTCAGACATGGATTCTGGAGACTGTGTCTTGACCAGGTGGGCACTACAAAGGATTGTTGTATCGTGTCCTACCCTTTAGCATGCACCAAACAAATATGTGCGTCTCCATGAATAGCCTGCATGTCAATGTGCAAGCTCAGGCCGCGGTGCAGTGGGAAGTGAGAGTGTGATGCAGGTTGAATTAGGGATGAAAGGGAATGAGGAAGAGAACAGGAATGCACCGCCATTGGCACTAGAAATTTCAAGGTGTCTATAGGTTTGATGTGGTCTCATGTGGTCTCTTATTTCACGCTTTTGCCACTAAAATGTCCGGAAGTGAAGGGCCTCCACCCACACCGTCACCACTGCGCCACTCCGCCTTGCTGCCAATCAAGTCATCAAACTTCGTGGATCAGTGGATCAATCAACTCTTGCTAACATTGCTAGCATGACCCTCTGACACTCATAGTAGTTCGCATCTAAAATGCTCATGAGATCGGATCGCCTTCTCGGCTTAGCTTAGCTCAAATGCCTCGCTTACTTGGGTCTCACTTTGTACATGTTATTCTGAAAGAAGCTGCAAACATCTTCTGAGATCAGGACTCCAAGACATGGAAATTCAAGCCATGGCCTTGCAATGTTGGTTGGAATGGGTCTAGCATCTATGTTGAGATAAAGTGACAGCCAATGAGCTGTGCTGCAAGATTGAGTTCCCTATTCCCATAAGAAAAATTCCGATCAAAAAGCACTAAGGATCACTAAGGTGTTGCCTTGTGTGAATGGCAACCAATGTAACAGTTTGTTGTGAGGCGTTGATTTCAGATCCGATCTTCGGTCCGAACAAATGCTTCATATATCCCACCCCACCAGCTCGCAGGTCTCCAACGGCCACGGCCACCTTACCCACGCTGGCAGTTCTTTGAGTTAAGCGGTCTTAATCCTTGGTCATGCCTTTCCGCTATAACACTACGACTGGGATAGCTGTTCTTGACAAGGTAGTGTATTTCCTGTAGTCAAAAGAGCTAAGGGAGAAAAAAAACTGAAAGCTTGTCTTGTTGTGCATGCTGCTTCAGCTTTCATGCCGCTTTCTATGCTTGTACATTTGATGTCATTGAAAAATGTAGGACATTCATGCAAAATGCCCAATCTACTACTTACAGCCTCTCATCCACTGAGGAAAAAAAGGTTGACTTGCCTATTTGCCTATTTGCAGGTATACTATACCGATTCCATGCACAATCTTACACTAAGTTTACAACTCTCAATCTTCGGGCCCACACAGCATCAGCGTTTCCAGCAACCAGCTTTCCCTCTTTGGAGACGTGGGTAAACCTGCGAAGCACGTCTGAAACACACTGATGGAAGCAAGTTTAAATCAAAATGAACAATAATATCCAAAAAAAAATGCTAGTGCAAGTCAAATGCTGTGGCTGTCCAAAGAGGAGCAGTCCAAGGATGACTCGAAGAGAATTTTAAGGGAATATGCCAACTTCAGAGAAAATCAACCCAAGCATTGAAAGATATTTAAAATATTTAAAATATTTAAATATGAAGGAGAGAAATAGAAGAATATACTGTAGAAGATGGGAAAGTGATAAAAAAGTGTATGAAGAGGTGTTTCCGCTCATGTCGGAAGCTTGGTCGTATGTAAGGGCTCCCTCAAAGCGCCTGATGGGCTGTGCATCTCGCGGATAGAGACGCCAAGACCAATCTTTGGTTGGACAGACCACCTGTGCAGAAACAGCTTTGACGCAAACGGCGCAAACGCAAGGCATCACACTGGCTTGCGACATCGTGCGACGTATGGCCAACTGAGAAACAAACGGTCGTCCTTGCAGTCATGGAGAAATGCATGTTCAAACAATATGAAACTGCAACACTGATATCATCAGCTTTAGTGTGCTGTAACGTGGAAACTTTGTTTGAGAGCTTGCAAGATGTTCAGAAGGGCAGCAGCAAAGGTTTCTCAATCTACAAACATCAACACGCAGAGAATATAGAACCAAGCTTGGGGCTCAAGCAATGCTTTGTCTTACAGTCTTAGAGACCCGGAGCTGATGGTAAGCCACTCAATCTATCAATGGTTTACACTTCCAAACCACAACACTTCGTCCTTTAGTTTGCGACTCAAGTAAGGAATACAATGATCACTAATTGGAAAAATATTCTGGCCCAGAATCGAGGAAGGGCTGTGAGAATATTACATTGAAATACATTGAAATGATGCGTGAGGCACGGACCTAGGAGTTTTCACGCCAGTTCTTCAATAAGATTTTGTAGATGCCGGGTGCCTGGAAGCTGAACGACTGGGATGTCAAACGGAGGCACATAGCCAGACGCAAGGTGTCCTGCCGGCAATAGTAGATCAGATCGCCAAAATGGATAGAGATTGTGTGCATAGGCATCAGAGTCTGTGTGTGTGTATCCTTATGTGTATGTATATAAGTGTGTATATATATATTATAATGATATATAGATGTATATATATATATTGTAATGATATATAGATATATATATATATATGTTATCATACATATATATATACCCAATTATATTTATATGATCATATATAAATATCCCAATACTGTTATCTGACGCTATTTAGTGTCACCCCATCAGCTATACACATCAAGAACCATATAACATATGCTTCAAATGCGTGGAAATTGCTGTGAAGCTTCGTTTGCAGAGTGAACTGTAAAACAAAATGAAACAAATCTCTTCAAACCATTCGATCAAGGTTCTGCAAATGCCATCAAATGCCAATCTCTGTTGACGCTGCCCGGGCATAAGCGCCACCCATATCCATTTATGTTTGCGTTCTCAACTAGCCCGTCTCTCTGCAGAAGCCACTTAACTTTGAAAATGTGTGAAAATGCTTGGTCAAACATCAAAACGTGTCATTGCTGTTACAGTAACCCTTCAAACCCTTGGTAAGTCTTCTTTCTTCGGTCCTTTTCCAACGCCACCCGCCTCAAACGGCTCGGTGCCTCCGTGCAACAGCTCGAAACCCTTTCCAGCTGATGTCCCGTGAATATCCTCCGGTTCACCAACTCTTACCAGATCTTACAAGATCTTACAAGATCTTACAGCATGCTCCAACACCCACCACATCCCACCACCATGGTCTGACATTGCGAACTCTCCCCTCAGGCTCTAACGAAGTCTGTGCGCCAGTCGGCAAAGTTGCCTCGAAGGATTCCACCAGGAAGCATGTAAACTCACCAGAGCCGAGTGCACAGTGGTTCCACTGCATCCCATCAGCACCAACGCCAACATCTGGAGCATGTCTCGATCTGAACATATCTGAACTATCTCTTTTCCTACATGGTGGTAGCTACATTCTGGCATTTGCATTGCCCTGCGTGGCAGCTGGTATCAAAATCACAGGGAAACAATGATCAAACCATCTCCCAAAGGGCATATGTGCACGAATCCTGAAAATTAAATGTACCAGAAAATCCACAATCGTTGATGCAATGACTCAATGACTATCAATGAATAAAGATTTGGTCCAGTCCTGCTCTGCTAGCATCACTCGGAAACTTTATGAGTCAACCATGGTGTCAACATGTGTCAACCATCTTCTGGCCTGTTAGGTGCAGAGGAGTCCTGGCGGCAATTGCAGTCACTGCAGTCACAACGCTTTCACACTTTGCAACCGTTGGAGAGACGGATCCATTCGCTGACACCAAACGATCGTCATTGTGGCGTGTTCCGTATCCACCAATGTATTTCTTGTTTTCTGGCTGACACCATCTGACTCGTTCGTGCACACAGTGTTCACTGTCCTCAACTCTGGAAGATCTGACGGCTCCTGCACCAAATGTCAGGACCAAGAGTTCTTTCACATGTTTGAGGTGCAGCCATTTCTCCATTTATGCTTGAAGATCTTGAAATGGTTCCTTCAAAATGTTCAGGTGCACAAAAAAATTGAAGCGTTGGGAAGGTATATTGCAGCGGCTGTATCTTCCAGTTTCTTTCACCTGCTTCAAAGCAAATAGCCTCGCATTCTGTTGGTAGACGGGCTAATTCTAACATATTCTAACTCTTGTCAACAGCAACTCAACCTTTGCCAAGTAGACACTCTGGCATTCATTCATTCAGGCCTCTGGAAATGGCCTGCAAAAGCCAGCAGGAAATGATGCGGGGAAACTGGAGAACATGCACGTTTGACGCTAGTGCTAGCAGCTGCTAGCATAAGTGAAGGAAACGATTTGAACCACAAAAGTCCGCCATCTACTTCCTTCAGGTAGACAAGAGCAGTATGATTCATGGTGGATCTGGTCTGCATGGGTGTCTTGGCATGTCCGATGATGTTCTAGCAATCCAGTCAATGTGTTGAAAGAAACCTGGCCGACTTCACCATATATTTCATAGTGGATCCTTCAAATTGCGTGTTGGTCGAATTACAACCCAGCCTTTTGCTCTGGGAAGATTCAGCTGAGCCTGGTCGAAATGTTGAAAGGACAAATCATCGCTGAAGAGACGTCATCCATGTGTTCATGTGTCTCGTGCATTGGCGGTGGAAAAATAAAAGAACAACATGGACCTCCCATTCATAACTCATAACATAAGAACGAGCAGCGTCCATGCCTAAAAAATATGAACAGAATGGATCAGAATGGTTTTAACTGTGCCAATGAATATCAACTTCATGTCCAACATGCTGCTGCCTCGGTTTCTATGATGCTCAATCCATCAATCTTTCTCAAAACTGTTGGTCATAGCTAGCCTCAAAACGTGAAGTTGCTGTGCTGTACGCAGATCACTTCTAATCCAAAAGCCCTTGTGCTCATCGTGGATGGTCAACAGTTTGAATGCGAGTGAAACTTCACCAGCCCCATGGCATATTGGATGTTCATTCCTTTTTGGAAGTCTGTGTGGAAGACTGTTCGACAATCAGCTTCAAGAGCAAAGGCACGAAGGGACATCCTTTTTATGTTGGCGAAAGCATCCACATGGCACATGGAGACACCTTCACGAATGATGTCTTTTTGGGCGACCACAAGAGTGTTTAAAACTTCTGTGGCAGCCGAAAACTGCCACACGACAGCTGCGTGTTCACGGCAGTGTGCATTGTTGGAAGTCCAAAAGGCCGATCCCAAGTCTTTGGGCTCAATATGGCTCAATCTATTCACAGATTATTCACATGTGAATCCATTTGCAAAATTTGCAAACAAGACTGCCGTCTTTAGGCATGCTCCGTGTTGGAACTTTACAAATGGACCAGAATCTTTCTCTGCCATCACCTGGCGTGACAT